AAAACTTACAGATGCAGTTTGAGCCCTTCTCTGGAAATCCCATTGTATAAGCGAGAGTTCAACTGGAGAAGCAGGACCATCAAAATCATGCAGATGACAGCTGAATGGATGCATGCATGCATGGGTGGACAGACAGACAGATGGCAGTGTTATAGTCTGTTTTCTGTTGCTATAAGAAAGTACCTGAAACTGGGCAGTTTACAAAGAGTAAAGTTCATTTGGCTCACTCTCCATTCTGGAGGCCGAGACATCTAAGAGCATGGCGCTGGCATCTGGGCAGCTTCTGAAGGGGCCTCTGGGCTGCATCCTAACACGGCAGAGCCCAGCACACGGTGAGACAGAGCAAGAGAGCCACAGAGAGCTGCTCCGGCATCAGAGCCGCTTCCAGAATGACCCATTCATCCCATTAAGCCTACTTCTGGATGAATCCACTCATCAGGGCAGGACCCTCAAGGCTCAGTCACCTCCCAATGCCCCACCTCTCAACTGTCAGCCTGGTTCAGCCCTGGCTTTTGTAGGCATCTGGGGAGTCAAAAAGAAGATGCGAGATCTCTCTCTGTGCCTTTTAAATAACGTTAATTGGTTAACTAATTAATTAATTATAGAAAACTTGTTTAAAGACTCAGCTCCAAATAAAGTCTGGTTTTCCACTCCTGGGGCAACTGTTTTGGTTTTTGCCCAAAAGCAGTCATCTTGGTTGGAGTATTGGTGCTTTTGCAGTTTGGAAGCTGACATCAGCAATTTTTTTTGTAAGTAAAATGAGGTCCAAAGCTGAGATATTTTATTCAGCTGATGACAGAACAAGGCCAAGAAATAGATTTTATCTTTATGACTCAAATGCCTGGCCTACATGTCTTATTTGGGTGATGTCATCGGCAGTTTGATCTCTTTTTCCCTGTTGTGTTTGTTGACTTTTTTTTTTTTTTTTTTTGAGGCTTTACCTTTTATTCAGAGGCCTCGTCCTGGCTGACATGGCTTAGATCTCCAGCTCTGCTACAAACATCAGTGCAGTCACAATGTCAAACAGACATGGGATGAGCCCCTTGCAAGAGTGATCAAGAAAAGAGGAAAGCATAAATGAATAATATCAGGCATGAAAGAGGAGATAGCATTACAGATTTGGCAGACATTAAAAAGAGAAGAGGTGGGCATTTGACCTTGTTGCTATGATACCAGCCAACATGCCCACGTCCCATGTCAGAATTCCTGGGTTTGATTCCCAGCTCCAACTCTTGGCTCCAGCTTCCTGCTAATGCAGATCCTGGGAGGCAGCATTGATGGCTCAAAGTGATCGGGTTCCTGTCACCCCCATGGGATACCTGCATTGAGTTCCTGGCTCCCAGGTTTAGCTTTGAGTAGCCCTGGCTGTTGTGGGCTTTTGTGGCGTGAACCAGTACATGGAAACTCTCTCTCTTCCTCTTAAATATATACATATATATTTATATTTTATATATTTATATATGTAAAGAAAGAAGAGATAATGAGAGGACAGATGGAAGAATTTTATGCCAACAAACACAACAACTTCGATGAAATGGACAAATTTGTTGCAAATGGACACAGTGGGAAGACTTTTGAGCTAGAACCCCAAAGAGCTGCACTTCCTAATTGCCGAATCCAGTGACCCTCTCTGGGTTTGCTCTACTCCCCCATGGCATTTGACATGTCTGACTGTGTGCTTCCTTAACACCTGGTGTTTCTCCACCAAAACCTCCTCCCGCCGGCCACCTTTCTGATTGGCATAGTACCCTCTAGTGACTCCCATGTTTCCTCTTGCTCCACACTTGCATCCAGAGCTGTAACTGCCATTTGTGAGCTGATGGCTCCCAAATCTGCAGTGCAAATAGCTTTCCTGAGCCCCAGTTTGACTAAATACCCAACTTCTGTCTGGACAATTACATATGCTACCCATTTAATCAGTGAGTTCCCGCCAGACCTGGGGCCAGACCCCTCCAACTCAACATCTCCTTTGGCTACTAACAATACTCAGTTTTCATTTGGTAACTGTCTCTCTCCCATTCCTCCTGCCCAGACCCCAGATGGGCATGTGACCCAGTTTCATCCCCTTCAACCCATCCTCCTCACTGTTGGCTGAGTGATCTCACCAACAAACATAGCTCAGAAGAGTGGTCTTCAAACCTGGGCCCAAATTTGTTGACTTTCCTCCACCGAGAAATGGGGTGTCCTACACTTAAATCTGGCCAGGTCTATGATGCTTCCAGCAAGAGAGTCCTGACTTCCCCGGCTACGGCAGCAGAGTCCATGCTGTGTCCACTGGCCTGCAGTGCTCATCCTGTGAGGCCTCAAGGAGTTCTCTTGGGAATCCTGCTGCCATGTTGTCCAAATCACTCAAAGAGGCCACATGATGGCACTCTGGTGAGCCCTCCTGGTTAAGCCAGCTTTCAAGTTATGCCAGTCTGAGCAGGACACCCGGGACTCTATGTATAAAAGGATCCTGTAGCCGCAGCCATGCTGGGAGCCAGTCATTGTGTCTTCCCAGCTGAGGCTCGGTCACAGGAGCAGGGAGGGCTACCTCAGCTGTGTTCTCTTGAAGCTCCTGACCACGGAATTTGTGGTTCTAAACAAAATGGCCGCATCAAGCTGCCACATGGCGGTACCTGCATAGTAGTTAACTGGAACACTCATGCCACACACCCCAACTTAAAATGCTCTAGAAAAACAACAACAAATATTCTAGTGACTCCACATGGCTACCAGGAAGAAGTCCAAACTCGTGTCCTTTAGTACCAGATTCCTGCCCACCCAACCCAACCCAACCCATCTCCTACCCCTGACACATGAGCCCTAGCCATAAAGCAATTTCTGGAATGTTCTCTACTTACCTAGGCTCCCATGCCTTTGTACAAATACATGCTGTTGCCCTGCCTGAAAGTCAGGAAGGCATCCAGGTATTTAGCAAATCACCCAGAAACTGGGGAATACAAGCTCACTTCCTTCCCTGGAATGGTTTTTCTCTAGGAACAGTGGCAATTAAGTGGCCCTAAAACAGTCCAGGTATTTTGCAAAAAAGAATATTGAAAGAATATGGGCTATTTTCTAGGTCTCTAATAAAATAAGTTATGCATCTAGATTATGGAGCTAGACTGCCTACATTCAAATCCTAGCTCTACTGTTTACTACCGGGGGTGGGGCGCAACTTCCTGCAGCTTATTTAATATTTCTGTGCCTCAATTTCCCCATTTGTATAGTGGGATAATAAATAATAGAGTTAAGAGGTAAAATGTGTCACGTGTTTAGAATGGTGCCAGGCAGAGAGTGCTCAGGTAAAGGTTGGTTGAAGATAAAACTAACCTCCTGCAAGTAGCTCACTGTAGCCATTGCTGAAGTCTCATGAGGAGCACTTTCTTGGCGAGACCTCCCCAGATGTCCCCCTGCATGGGTTGGTTTCACCGCTAGGCCCATGTTGCTGCCACAGCATCTTCAGCTCAGCACAGCCACCACGTTTGTCACTGCCTCTCTAATTCCATCATTGCAGCCGCTAGTAGCCCTCGGCTTTTCTGTTAAGAGTCTTGAGGGCAGGGGCTGGATCTACTCATCTCTCTCTCTCCAGAACCTGAGTCACAGTAGTCCTTCCATCAGTGTGCACTAAATTGAATCTCGCTTTGATTTTACAAACACAATCTCTCAAGCCCAAGAAAGGATAAATGAGCTCTTCTCAGGCATACAGGTGGTTGCCTAAGCCTAAGCTCGTTTGTGTGTGTGTGTGTGTGTGTGTGTCCCCATCAGTATCTTTCACAGGCAGAGTTAAGACAGTGAGAGAGAGACAGAGAGAAAGGTCTTCCTTCCGTTGGTTCACCCTCCAAGTGGCCACTACAGCCAGCGAGTCGATCCGAAGCCAGGAGCTTCCTCCTGGTCTCCCATGCGGGTGCAGGGCCCAAGCACTTGGGCCATCCTCCACTGCCCTCCCGGGCCACAGCAGAGAGCTGGACTGGAAGAGGAGCAACCGGGACAGAATCCGTCGCCCCGACCGGGGCTAGTACCCGGGGTGCCGGTGCCGCAGGCAGAGGATTAGCCAAGTGAGCCACGGCGCCGGCCTGCCATTTGCTTTTAAAATTGTTCTAACACACACCCATAAAACATCCCTGTTCTTTCAGTAGGCTTCCTTGGAGCCCCTGGGCTGTTTCCGGCCGCCGTCGCCACTATCCTGGAGAAAGCACAACGGGTAAGGATGCAGCTCTTTGCCTCCTAACCTACCAGGCAGCTGCCTTTCCATGTTTACTTTCCCCAGGTGCGGAGGTGCCGGCGGCACTGTTGAGAAATCCAACCCCGCGCGCACGGAGCTTCGCGCTGCCCACTTGGCCATCTGCAGATCCTTCTGCTTCTGCCAGTTGCCGCGTCATCAACACAAGACGGCGCTGTGTCCCCGCGGGCTCGGGCACCGCTACGTCGGGCACAGGGAAGACCCAGGTTCCCCCGCCCCTCCTCTCCCAGCACTGGGCAGGGGATGCTCTGCTGCATCACCCCTAACCCCGCGGCGGGCGCGGTCTTTTCCCGCGTGTGTGGTAGGGAGTGTCCCCTGTTAAAGGAGACCTGGCCTGGACTTTGAAAAGCTGTCCCCTGCTTGCAGCTCTGTTATCGATCCTCCCCAGAACTGCACCTCCTCCGTGACTGGAAACCAATTCACTGAAATCAGAACGAATACAGGGCCTACTGGGTGCTGCTCAGTACCTGGCCCCGATTAATGGACCCAGCCTTGGGGGCTTTCCCGACAGTGCTAGCCGAACTCACCCCCCCACCTCGGGGTGCTCCTGGGCCAAGGTGCCCGGTGCACCTGTCTGGGGAGGACCAGGAGTGTCTTTCCCTCCCAGAACCTGGACAACCAGCTCCTTTCGCGTCTTCGTCCACTTTCTTCCTTTCGCCCTGGTTTTCCATTTCTTAATAGTTATTGGGGCGGGAAGGAGGGGCGGTGGGGAGAGAAGGGCGGGGAAGGGGCCCGGCGGGGAGGGGCGTCGGAGCGCTGTTGCCGGGTGTCACGCCGCCCTCCCCGCCCCTCCGCCGGGGAGGTGGGAGCGCGGTGGAGCGCGCGGCAGAGGGCCGGGCGCGTGGGGACGCGGGAGGGCGGCATTCTCCGCGAGCCGCGCCGCACACCGAGCACGCCGGCCGCCGGAGCTGGGCGCGGAGCCGGGAGCGCGGAGCCCGCAGCCGGTAGTCGTCCGCCTCTGGGACCCGGGGCCAGCCCCGGCACAGCAGCCCGGCCCGAGGAGGGCGCACCCGGCCATGGAACCCTCGCACAAAGACCCCGAGACCGCGGCGGCGGCGTCGGCGGTGGCGGCGGCAGACCCCCGGGGGGCATCCTCGTCCAGCGGGGTGGTGGTGCAAGTCCGCGAGAAGAAGGGCCCCCTGCGCGCCGCCATCCCCTACATGCCCTTCCCCGTGGCCGTCATCTGCCTCTTCCTCAACACTTTCGTGCCGGGACTGGGTAAGTCGCGGCGACCGCCACCCCTGCGGCCCCGGCCCATGGCGGGACGGAGGCCAAGGGAGGGTGGGTGCGGCGGGAGACTCCCCGGGGACGCCCACCCGCGGCAAGTGCGGTGCCCGCGCGCGCGCGCCCGGCCGCGCTCCCCGCGCCCCCGGGTAGGTGGCAGAGCGCGCGGAGTGGGCGCCCGGGAGAGGGAGAGGCCACGAGGGGATCCCGGTCCGCAGGCGGGATAGCCGGACCCGGAAGAGCTGGAAACTTTGCGGGCCTGTTAGAGCCTGCAGGCGGCGTTCCGGACGGTTCTCTCGGTTCCGGGCTAGGCTCCCGTCCAGGCGCCGAGATTCCGCCGCTTCTCCTCGTCGCGCTCAGCTTTGCGCGAAGGGCGTGGGACCAGAGGAGGGGGAGCTGCGGGGTCGCGGAGGCGATGACCGAGAAGTCGGTGGGCGGGAGAAGCGGGGACGCCCTGCAGCCGTCCCTGCGTACACCGTGTGCGGACCGAGGGGCAGAGCGCTCCTTGGCCAGTCTTCTCCATCTCGTCGCCGGGTGCCTGCACCCCCGCAGGGCGCCGAGGGCGTGGGCGATGACTGCGTGAGTTTTGACTGGGCCTGGCCACAGGTGACCCCGCAAGAAAAGTGGAGAGCGCGCCGCTGTAATTCTGTGTCGGACCCTGGCTTCCAGGAGGGACTCTGGTGGCATCCGCGCCCACATTTTAAGACAGAAGCCCCGGCACAGAGAGGTGCCTGAAGGGCCAGTGGAGAGAGGGGATGCGAAGTGTTCTGCCTCTCATTCCTCCGACCCCACCCCAGACCTCCGCCCGCTGGGCCGGCCGCCTCCCCTGCAGCCCACCTGCCTGCCACCCGCCAGTCGGGCGCTGGTAGTTGCCCCCCACTCCTGCGCAGAGCCGGCCGGGCGGGCGCCCCTTGTGCGTCTCCGGGAGAAAGCCTGCCCCTGCTGAGGAGCTGGTTGCCGGCTCAAGCGGGGCTCAAGTTCCCAGGAGCTGCGGTCAGCTGCGGTCAGCTGGAAGTGGTTTAGCGTTGGACTTTGGCCTTTCTCATGGCCCTGTTCTTCGCCAGCCTCTGCTGCTGCAGTGCAGGGTACAGCTCAGGCCGCTCCCTCCCACGCAGGACCTGTGCTTTCCCTGCCTGCTGCCCTTTCTGTCCCCCATCCTTTTCCCGAGTAGTTAAGCCAGGTCGTCTGGGTTGGGCTTGCACCTCCAGGCTGCCTCCAGCAGCCCCCACCCCCACCCCCAGCCCACCCTGGTGTCATCTGGCGGCTCTGTGCACAGTGAGACCTGCCAGGATGCAAGCTGATGTTAATTTGGTGGTGCAGGAATTTCCACCTGCTGGAGTAAAAGGAAACTGCTGTCAGCGCTCATGTGAAGATCCTGAGGCTGGATGTGCCTTATTTCATACATATGTATTTTTGCCTTCTCAAATGTGGAAGTAAATGCTACTCTATGGTCTTTTGAGAAAGCAAATGCGTTGGTGCCAGGTGGAAGGGGCTGTACCAGACTGCTGCTGCTGGGTCATTCCTGTGGGATACCTGCTGCCTGCTGTGCACCTGTGCATGCCCTCCTGGGTCTCACCCCATCTGACCTCTTACCTTGGATCCACTGCCCTGGGCATCCAGCATTCCCTACTTCACAATTCCCTTTATTAGATCAGAACCCTGTGGGATATTTGTAACAAGCAAACAACTAAAAGCTGTCTAAGAAACCAGCAGCAAGAGAAAATAAGCAAACTACAAAAGGCATGAAACAGGTGAGCCGTGGGTGTGCAGACGGGATTTTTCAGTGACCTACTGCAGGTGTATTTCTCATTTTGCTTTGGCTGCTGCTGCAGGCTGTGCTGGCTGTCCAGAGCCCTGCTCCTCTCCTTGCAGGATGGAGGGGCCGGGTTCCTGGCCCTTGGCAGTGCCTGTCATCTGTAAGTCAGGGACACTTATCTCTCCAGATTGCTGGGAGGGTGAAATGGGATTGTGCAGAGCACCCAGGAAGCTCTGTCTTGCACTTTGTTCTGCAGAGCTGAGCACTGGGCCCATCTCTGGTCTCTGGGTGGGGCTTGCTGCGGCAGTGGCAGCATGAACACAGCCCTCTGGGACCACTTGTGTGTCTCTGCTCAGCTCTCCGCCTGCGGTGCAGTCGGGGCCAGCACAGCAGCCCAGGCAAACCCTGCAAGCGTGTTTTGGTCCCCTCATCCTCCCAAGAGGTGTGAACAGCCTCAGCTCTTGGAAACCTTCCCCTTGGCCGAGATCCACTCCTCCAAGCCCTCCTGGCTGGTTGGAAGCTCCTGTGATAACTGATTGTTCAGGACCGCTTTTGCCCATTGATGAAATGCAGCTTCCTTCAGTTCATTCACTCATTGGACCAACACAGGCACCCAGCTGACGCCAGCCACTGGGGATGATGATGAAGAAAACAGGGTGACATAGATTGCTGTACCCTCATGTGCTCTTCTTATTTGCAAATTGGATGAGAGAGAGCAAGCGAACAGGCACTGGGCTGGATGAAGGCACCTTTTTTGCTCTGATGTAGGTGTGTCAGGTCCATCTAGTTTGCAGGACCTACCGTGGAGAAACCCTGCCCTTGAAGCTTCCAGTACCTTCACCATCCAAGCAGCAGTGCCGTCAGGATGATACTCGTATCTTACCATAAGAGGGATGTTTCCTCTCCTGGGGAGGGGATGGGAAGAAGTGATTTATGATCATGTTGTCTCCTCCTTGGAACAATGAGCAAGTTTTTGAAAACACGTGCTTGTGAAGATCACCCCCGGTTCTGTTCCACATAGCTCCACCGATAAAGCTGGCTGGTGGCACCTTCCGGTTCCAACAAGAACGGCATGTGCCTGCATTTACAGAGTTGTTTTTACACACTATGGAAGTTTGCTGTTATGCCCCAAAATGGCCAGAGAGCTTGTCCACTGATCAGAGGTTTAAGTTTAATTACACTTGCAGATGTAAAAATTATCTCTCTCTGCGTTTGGTGGGACAAACATGGTGATGATTCAGATAGTAACTGGGAAAGCGGGAGAGAGAACTTCCATTGACCGTGAACCACTCCATCACACTAATGTTGGCCATTAATCCACTGGAGAGCATGACATGAACCTCTAACCTACCCCTAGCATACTGCCTGCTCTCTGGCACTCCGTGAGTCTTGCTGCCCCAGCAGGCACCACAGTCTGGCTCAGCTCCACTCTCTTTCCTCTGTCCCCAGGGCTTGCACTGGCAATGAATCACAAGCTGCATCTCTTGCATTGTAGACTTTGGTCTTTGTCTCCCACATAGATTGTAAAGTCTGTGAGAGATGCAACTACTTCAAATTTCTCCTTGAAGTAATATGTTTTAAATGAATACATATTGACTAGAACTATACTCTGGAAATAGGCATTAAACATTATCTGGTCCTATGCATATATTTTATACGTAAGTGAGGAAGGTCTGACGATGCAAGAACCAAGGAGGTTTCCACTCTACTCAGTCTTTAAAATGATATTTTAAAACTTTGTTTGAAAGGTAGAGAGGTAGACAGAGAAGGAATGTGGTGGAATGAGAAGGCCATGCCAACTTTAGCCAAAAGAAAGACACGCACAGCACTGCTGCCATAACAAAACAAATTCCTAGCACCTCAGCAGCTGATGGCATTATGCAGGGGTTCCCTACGTTAGATGAACAGACAGTGGTGTATCGAATCATACGTATGTCCTGTGCTTAGTGGGGGACTTCCTTGATTTGTTAGGTCAAGGCCATATGCCCACACGGTGTCTCCAGAGCGTCACCTCTCTCGAGTGAGAGAAGATGACTTGGTTCCGAATTCTGGGATGATCAGTCCCTTATGTGAATTCACCGGGCGATCTGAAAGTAGGAGGAGCCGAGAAGCAGTGTTACGCTTCTGGGCTGTATGTGCTTAACCTGGGGTCACTTCGACCGAGGACAAGAACAAGGAAAGGGTCGTAGGAGGGGGTTCTGTGCTCACCCTCACAGAACCGAACAGCACAACAAAACACCAACGGGCCTACTTGCTGAAATCAAGTGGGGACCTCACTGTGTCCAACTTGCTGTCTCAGTCACATTGGGCACCAGATGTTGCTGTGGATTCGTTCTGAGAGGAGGAACATGGTGGGGGCAAGAGGTGTGGAGTCACCACACAGACCCCGGGAGTTGGGTGAAAGCAGGCCAGAGGTGAGCAGCATGCAGACTCGTTTATTTCAGTTGGTACAGCAGCTTATATAGCCAAGGCAGCCAGTCTGGTCAAGGGGCAGTCTATGCCCTAACCAGTCACAGCCTGTTGCCAATGTTTAAGAGCAGCACTGCCCATAGCCACATCTGCTACTGTTTTATACCCCACTTAGCTCCTGTCAGCCACTCAAACGGCTCACAGCCTGTGTGCAGTCATGCCATTCCTGATTACCATTGTTCCTCATTCCTACCCCCATCTGAGCAAGCACTCCTATGGTCTCCCATTTTGAGTGCTGGTTAGTCAATAATGGGTAAGATACCCTGGGAGACAACCTAATACAGGCACAGCCGCATACAGAGACCACATGGAAACGGGGCCAACAATGGTATGGCCAAGGATCATGCCTCCCGTTGCTCAAAAATAAACGAAAAGGGAGAAATGTGGTGGAATGAGAAGGCCATGCCAAGATGGCTGCTAGCAACAGAGCCTGCCTGGCAACAGGCTGTGATTGGATGGCTTCAGAAACTGCCTGGCAACAGGGTGTGATTGGTTAGGGCATAAACCGCCCCTTGACCAGATTGGTTGCCAGGGGCTATTTAAGCAGCTGTACCAACTGAAATAAATGAGTCTGCAGGCTGCTCGCCTCTGGCCTGCTTTCACCCAACTCCTGGGGTCTGTGTGGTGACTCTGCACCGCTTGCCCCTACCACGCTTCTCCTCTCAGAACGAATCTACAGCAACAAAGGAAGGCTTCCATCTGTTGGCTCACTTTCCAAATGCCTGCAACACTTGGGGTTGTGCCAGGGTCAGGGCCAAAGCCAGAAGCC